CTCTCGCCTTGTCCCTCACTGAAGTCTCCAAGGTTATCTGGAAATCTGCTTAAATGGCTATGGAGATGGTGCATCTTTCTGCTCATATTAACTCCCACATTTCTGAAGTTAGCAAGCATATATCTTCTATCGTCTGCTCTGTGATTACCCAAGTAGTTCTTCACAACAGAGACAAAACTCTTCCAGGCCGAAGCCTCAGTGTTATTCATGCATTTGGTAAAATTGTTGGCTCTTCTTGATGAAGTCATAATTTTTACATGTATTTATATACTTATTAAGACAGAACTTTTTGGGTCTAAACCAAGACTGGGTTGACAAACTTATACTGTAGCCGACTTCGTTCCTCTGCAAATTCACAGTTGAATTCTGGCTTCAAAAAGTCGCTTTTATAGCATTGTAGGCCTACAAATTGAAATACAAAATAATTATATGGGATATTTCATTACCTAAGACACTGTTAAAGAGTCAGAAAACAGACCAAAAGCTATTGCATTTGTTATCACACACAAGTCGCATGTATTATTTTCATGGAGGTCCATTATCTCAAAAACTATAGATCCAATTCAGCAAAAGTAATGGGATTTTTTAATTCAGCACAAAAAGCTACAGGAATTTGCTTATCATTCTTTAAGCATTGTGTCACCTGCTAATTGGCAAAGGAACAGCCTATATGTTTCCCTTCAATATTCAATCCTTCAGTTTTATTATTTTTAATTATTGGCAATAAAATAATACAACAACAAATACAACAGATTTGAAGTAAACAGTAAAGGAGCCTATCCCGGAAGCAATGGGCACGAGGCAGGGAACAACCCAGGACGGGGGGTCAGCCCATCGCAGGCGTATGGATATATATGCTGTAATAGCCTATTTGAAGCAAATATATTTAAGTAGTGCGTTGTCTTTAATCTTCATTAAAATCAGACTGCCCCGTAAAGGTTTAATCCCTATTTAATAAATCTCCATATGTAGTTCGGCTCCTGCCAGGAAGATGAAAACTATTTTCTTTGAATTTATAAATAAATTAAACACGAACAATGCATTGTTTTATTGTTTCTGCGTGTGTTTCCAAAAAAAAACTAAAAGTAAAATCTGAAACAGTCGGACCGTTGAGAGCGAAATCGAAGCACAGACAGCCCCCGGGTTAATAACGCCCGACTTACGGCCCAATTCGTAGGCTACTTACGAACGGACTGTGTATTAAACATTGCATTAAAAGTTCGGATTAAATACGATGGTTCGTAAGATGGGCGTCGTTCGGTCCTATCCCTGTAGCCCCGAGTATTTGAAGCCGATCCCCGAGTATTATAGCCGATGCCAATCTCCCTTCAAAAACAAAAAAAGTTAAGTGTCATGTAAACTTGACTTAGCCCCTTATCCTTTTAATAGCTAGAAACTACCCTGGGATGAGTTTTCCGAAGTTTTATGTTTAAAGACAGAACTTCCGAATGATGTAGCGTTAAAAAGGCTTCGGGAAGCTCACCCCTGGTTAGTACACGCAATTCTCGGTCTCATAGGAATCACTGTAACACTTGTTTCCTGATGTGATTTCCTGCACTCCACTGTAATTTGTGTCCTGCGTGTAGCTGTCAAGTTACATGGACAAGAATCGCCCATGCTAAATGCGGGCTTTCTGAAAAAAGTGAAACTAGGCCTAATAGATGAGCCTACCTAGCGTGGAACAAATGAAGAAACAAACAGGCTACATAAACGAAAGTGGGAAGCCAAGCTTAGGCGGTGCTTCCGGTTCCATCGTAAAACGTTTTAATAAAAAAGGCCCAACATCTAGTTTCCAATAGATTCCGAGGGGGAGAAAATTAGGTCCGATTCTTACCGATTCCTTTTGGTCGCGCCCATACAAAATGATCAATCAGTAAACTAAACTAAACTAAAAGAAAAAAAAACTGGGTTCCGAAATTCCAAGGCATCTGTCGCAAAACATCTCTCGATCTTTGCATAATATTGCAGTTATTCGCCTGACCAGTTAGTCCTATCATAAATGTCACTTGACTAAATAGAACTTTTCGGATTCACGTCGCTCCCATTTTTTATTTATTTTTTTGCTGCCCGAAAAATATGAATTTTCGGCTGCCTGAGAAATGGCTTTAGCGCCGCCCTTTTTTAGTACCGAAAAACTGATTAATAAATGTCATTGCGCAGCCTTACCACTACACTACCGCTGGAGGTATTTTGAATGATCAGTGATTCGCCTGCCCGCAAGGATGGACGCTGCTATAGAAAGATTGGTAAGTTAATTAATCGCAGATCTTCACATTCATGCGCATGACATTTACAGTGTGAGTATTATATATAAAGTTATATATAAACTGGCATTCGTATTTGTGTTTGTATTCCTTTTAACACAGAGACGTAAAGTAAAGGACGAAGGCGATACTGCGGATATGTGGTTATTCAAACAGCCGATTGCTGTCATCTGTAACTTTGAGGATGAACTCGGCCGAATGCCTTTGTACGTATTCTAAGCATTCCTCTGTGTGCACTTGTCGGCATCTTGCCTCAACCGAATTTGTTTATTTGTTGCGCCAAATAATACTTGTATTTCATCCACAAGTTTTAAATATACAATTCTTAATGATCTCATAAACAACATAAAACTGGTGTAATTATAAATTTGGCCAAAGTTAAACTAATTGGCATATTATTTTAATTACCTTTACCATGTTAAAATCACGGTAAAGTCTGGTAGAACAGTGGTTTTCAACCTGTGGGCCGCGACGGTATTGCAGGGGGGCCGCCAATTATTATTAATAGAAATTGTAATATTGTTAATATAATAAAAAATGTCTAGTCAAAATCAAATAAATCATAATTTGATATATAATTAAATAATGAGAAATTAAATAATAAACTGTTAGTATGCGTTCACTATTCGAGCTCGCTGATTGGTTTAATAACAACCCGCCAACTTAGACTATCTAAAATAGTTTTGATTCATACATGCTGAAGCAGATTTAAAAATGGATAAATGGTTGACAACAGGATCGCTGAAAAGAAAAAATACAGACGTTTCTAAAGCAACAAGTAAGCCTGACACTGAAAAGCCTCAAAATAAACCTAAACGAAGAAAATATAGTAGCGACTACCTAGCGCTGGGTTTCACATATGTTGGAGCAGAGAACGAGCAGCTACCGCTCTGTGTTGTGTGCTCAGAAATACTGTCAAATGAAGCTTTTTTTGTTGTTGCCTGCTCTCGATTTGCGCTTGTCACTCGAGTCTGACTCTAGTCTTGCTTTGTCCAGTGCTCCATTTCTCTGCCGGTTTTGACTGCTCGTTTCAACCCAGCTCTACCTGTTCCCTCTGACGGCTCTTCGGCTCGCTGACGTTCTACCCGCTGCCGACCTCTGCCTGGATTTCGTTTTCCCGTTTTCGAAATGTCAACCCGAGCCTGTGGGGGCTTGCTGATCCGTTATGTATATTTTCTGTTTATTCAATACATTACCAGTTTATTCAATAAAGACAATTAACAGCCTTGCTTCCGAGTACTTAGTTAACCCGACACAAAAAGCGGGATCGTTTAAATTCTTTTGCAGTGGGCCGCGGAAACATATGTGTTTGGCTGTGTGGGCCGTGAGTTAAAAAAGGTTGGGAACCACTGTCGTAGAACATAATGCTTTAAGTTATAATGTGAAGACAGGAAATGACGGTAAATATCACAAAAAAAAATTGTGCCTTTGCAGAAGCTTGTTGCTGTACAGCACGGAGTATTTGCGCCTGTTCTGCTATGGAGGGGTAATGGACATCCACCAAGAAGAGCTGCTGCAGAAAACGTGTTGTTTCATCAAACAGCTGGCAGCCTGCGTGAGTATCTCCTATGTGGCCTCACCGTGGTGGATTTTAATGGACCATTGCACGATTTAGACTATATTACCCCTTTCTCCTCTATTCTTGGTTAGCACGGTAGTCATTGTGTGTGTTGGAGGTTGCGTTTGACTCTATTATATCTTAAGTATATAACTCCTATTAAACTTACATTTCTGTTCATTTGCAGAACTGGAATCTGGAATTCACGGAATCAGGGCTTCCCCTTCTAGTGGACGTCCCACCAGCAGCCAGCTAACTACCATGGGATGATGAACTCACTATCTGAACAGTGAGAAGTCTGCAGGGATGGACGGGCTACCTCGATAATTACCGGTGAATCGCTGTATCAATGGGCCAGGAACAACTGCTACTGATCTCAGTCTGCTTCTGAAGAGGACATATTTTCAGGATCAGGATCACTCTGATCAGCAACAAACGAAATGTAACGTTTAGCTTTAAAATGGTATCATGCATGTTTTCTTAAGTTCTGACATTCTTGCCTCCTGTAATAATTTTTCCATATGCAAATATGATTCTATTTGATCGTGTCTTGGGAAAAGAGTTCCCTCTCATTTTAAGCCAAACAAAGTGGCATTAAACCAGATATTTATTTTTCATCTCTCAGATGTTTATAAAACGTAGACATGTATGTCTGTGTGCTAGCTCTGTGATGGCTTAGCTGGAATTTACAATTTTATGCACATTTATTGTTGAAATAAATAATTTCGTTTTAACCTACCAATTATTATCATTACTAGTGTCATTATTATTGGCAGTGTTGCTATTTTATTATTATTAATAATAATAATAATAATTATTATTATTATTGTTGTTGTTTTGTTGTTATTGTTATATTTTTTCATAATAACTACGTTACAGTGATGTGATTGGCTAATGAAAGAGTATAACTAAAACCCCACTGTCGTGCCAAAGTAAATGGATGTTAAAGTAAATCGCGATTTTCATTCTCACACATCGTTCTAAAGCAAAAACTCAAATTAACAGATAAGATGTATTTGTCTCTCAGCTCGTATGTGTAGAAGTAAATAAATGATTATGCAAGTAACACTGCGAACTAATTAAATTAAATTTAGTTTAATTAAATTGAATTAAAGCAGTGACCAATAAACACCAAATTTCTCGCAGACATATCTGGTTATAAAGACTTTCACCTGACAAAAAATCAAATCCAAAATGCTAGGAATATGGACTTCATCTCACATTAATCGTTTTCTTCTCTTCTTCTCGGATCCATTGACGCCCATTATAAGAAAAATGTTCCTGAGCTGCGATCAGTAGCCTAATTTTCAAATTTCTCTCGGACATTTCACCATAAAAATTCTAATTTAAGTACAAATGTTCCAAAACATCGTCGTGCTGCTCCTTGATGTTCGAATTATTTGCTGGCGTTATGATTTTAGTTTATTAAAAGCCGTTAAATTTGAATGCGCGAAGGAAATCGGAATAATTTAACACAATGTATATATAATTTACGACACGGGTTAAGCAACGCCTGTTACTAAGCGGTGCCGTTTAATGTAAAATAAAACTCGGAATAACACTCGGAATATCCCGCACTTTGCCAGATCAGGGGTTACTTTCCCAAACAACGGCTGAAGTTAACATTAACGATGCATCGTACTACGTAAGTTCGCAGTGTCGTTACCTCTGTAGTTCGAACTATATGGTTTACGGAAACACCTGCGTCGTACTTACATAGTTCGAACCACGCAAGCTGCTAACGTAGTTAACGTAGTGCAAAGAAAACGTAAAGAGTACACAAATATAATCCTCAAAAACCTAAATATAGTGTATTAATGATGTAATAAATAAGGGATTTTATAATAATAATAATTATTATTATTACTAAAGTAGAGTCTGCTGTAGCCTTTCTTATTCAGCACCACTGTGTTGTCCCCCCAGTGCAGTCTGTTGTTCAGATAGACCCACTTCCACCTCCTCCCCCTGTAGGGTGACTGATCTCAGGGGCTTCCTGTTACACTGGAAGGCAACCACCAGCTCCTGCGTCTTGGTCATATTGAGCTGGTGGTTGTTTTTCTCTGCGCAAGTTCTCCACCAGTTGTCCATACTGACTCATCGCCATTGCTGATGCATCCTAAAATGAGTCATCTACAAGTGGCAGGAGATGCACGGTATTCGACTGAAAGTCCGACATGTAGAGGGTAAACAGGAATGTAGACAGGACAGTACCCTTAGGTGCCCAGCATACAGCAGTGATATTCCACCAGCCCAGGAGAGGGATGTGTTGCAACAAACACGTCTATAATAAACAACCAGTCTGGATTGCGTAGTTAACTATTAATTTATTATTATTGTAATATTTGAATACTCTTGATATATATTCATAATTTCATATATATATTCATTATATCATATTACTATAAAACTCACAAAATAATAATAAAACTCACAAAACACATAAAACTGACAAAAGAGTACCAATAAAACATTGATTGGACACCTCAGGGTCATGTTATCGAATGGAAAAAAACAAATGATTAAAAAAAAAAAAATCTTTAAAAAATGGTGTTCTTTATTTTAAGGCAGGGGTAACCAATCTTACCCGCAAAGGGCCAGTGTGTATGCAGGTTTTTGGGATAACCTGTAGGTCAGCTGTTCAAATCCAGGTGTGAGGACTCTTCAGCCAATCAGTCCTCTAATTAGTAATCTAATTAGGGAGTTGCAGCGAAAACCCACATACACACCAGCCCTTTGCGGATAAGATTGGCCACCCCTGTTTTAAGGTATGGTAGCCTCCATTGCCAGAATATCCAGGAACATGCTTTAGGTGGTCTGCCATGGCACAGGATACGTCATAGCCGGTGGCCCTGCAGTCCCACTTTTCACAGCAGCTGCAATGACAAAGAAAACATTTAATTCACCTTTCCTGAATCCTATTACAGAATGCAATCAATGGCAGTAAATGGCGGTAATATCGTTGACAAGATATATCGCACATGCCTGTAGTGTACTCGTTCACAGGATAATGCAGCAATACTACAGTGAGCATCATATGTAACTCGTCTTATAACACGTACATGAAACATACAGAGGCTAAAAGACTAGCAAATAAGCAGGACAGCGCTGGGTAGGGGGAGAGGAAAAACATGATTTGGCGTCGATTTTAGAACCATTTTTTAAAAAACTTTCCTCAATTCCTTTTGGCATACAGTATATGCACATTTTAAAAACAGGGCCACAAACAACCTGTCATGCCCTGATCGTTCCGATCCTCCAGTGTGCCACTCCACCTCATTTGCCTCATGTGGAATCCCCGTGTTTTCAGCTGTTTCTAGTTGTGTTAATTAGTCTGGTATATTTAAGTCCATGTCTGTGTGTCTTTAGTTAGTCCTGTCATTGACATTGTGAAGTCGTAGTATGTTCCTGAGTATGTTCACCCGACTCCTCAACTCCCTTTGCCTTATTCCCTGTTCATGCCCCATGCTACAAGACAGAATGACCGGACTCAACAGAAAGACACCTTTCCTAACACATTCATTGGATCTTTCTCTTTTTTTAAACATGCTATATTTTAGTAAAGAATACAAGTTACAGTATACAGCACCATGCACAATCATGTAACAGTCATAGCTACCAATTGACAAAGTATGACAAGAAAAAGTGAGAAAAGAGGAAAAAAAGAAATAATAATAATATGGTAAATATACAGGTTCCTAAATTACAAGCATTGATACACTCAGTAGTTTTTACCAGTAAGAGTTGAGTAATGAGACAGCACTGAGGCACTTTTGCCGTTTCTCATGAGTTGAATTGAATCCAAAATATTATCAATTTCCAAAAGTAATGCCTGTAGAATAGGTGGGGACTTCATGTATTTTCTCTTATAATACAGAATTTATCTGACACAAGACACTGTTTGGATCAACAAAGTAACATATTATATCTTTTTAAGTAATGGTATAGGAGCTGACCAAAATGATTGCACTAGATTACAATGAAAAAACAAATGAGAAATGGTTACAGAAAGTTCAAAGATCTGCAACGTCCACAAACCTGGCAACAAAGTGGTTAGCTGGGTAAATGCAGTGTGATATCTTAAAATAGACCTGCTTTGCCTTATTTGAGATTGCATATTTTAAGGGAGTAACCATGATTTTTTTCCATGAGATATCATCTATAACCAAAACCCAATAGAATTTCCCTCGTGGTACAACTTCAGTTTGATTGTGGAGCAATTCCCTGATAAATTTGTTACCCTTTGAGGACAGTTTACTGTATATACGTAAAATCCCACTAAAACTGAGATAAAAAGATTTAAAGAAATGCTTTATACAAGTAGGGATTGCTTTAATAACGGAAGTATAATCCCTAGAAGGAAATCAAACTTATGCATAAACATGAGCATATAAGAGTAGGTTATTATCATATTATCAAAGTCATCAAATAATTTATATATATGATTTTACGCCAGTTAGCGTAAAAAAATTGATCTGGCATGTGCCTTGATTATGCTGGCTTTATACTCCAAGCTGTGACATGCTGATTAAATTGGTGCATACAATTTCCACTAGAGGTGTTTGCTGTGTGTTGCTTCTGCTATTTTTATTATTTAGGGAAACATTTCTTTCCATTTCTCCCCTCTCTCCATCTATTGGTATTAAATTGTGAAATGGTGTATTAAATGTATGTGTAGAACATTATCCTGCCTGCACTCTAACCTAGCAAAGGTGGTGAAAATGGCAAGAAGCAAAGTTAACAATGCTACCAACTCCAAGTAGTACTGTCATTTTTCCCCTCCTTTTCTTCCTTCATTTAAATGATTGAAGTGTTGTGGTCAGGATGTTTTTTGCAATCTAGTGATAATAAAATGGCAGACGTCTGGGCCAATGACAACCGATCTGGAGACAAAAGTAGACAAGGTACAAAATCTCATTATGCTCAATAGTATTGGTAGTCTGATAATGGCCTACAAATTTGACAAATTTTAGCAAGAGAAATAAGCTACAATGCAGCTAATCAGGAAGTATTTTATTCCCTTCTTACACAACACTTTTTCAGGGAATATTTCCAGTGCTGAAAGAATGCTGAATGCAATATACAACAGGGAGGTGGACGTGCCTGATGGTGCTGCTGATGTTCCTGGTAAGTTTTTTTTCCCCCCTTAATCAGGCTCTACTAATCTCAAATAGCTAAGAAAAATGCATGCCCAACAAAAGTTTGGGTCTAAGAAGTTTATAATATCCACATGTTGCTATGTCAGATACAAGTGATGTCTTTTCTGCTACGGATGCTCAAATGTCTCATCCGAATGCAGCTGCTGCACTTCGCCTCATACTTCAGGACCATGTGATTGACAAGCTGGAATTGCCTGGTGGAATTCCTGGGACAATGGATGAGCTGCAATCTATTGTGCAACAGAAGTATGGGTTAGAGCCAGGGAAGTTTACCTTGCATTACAGGGATGCTGATTTTGGAGGGGAGTTTTTTTCTCTTACCTCAACAAGAGATCTCAAGCACAAAGACATAATTAAGGTTGTTCATATTGTTGAACTCAACTCAATGAACTTGGTTGTAACAGACCAGGATAGCTTTAACACAAGTGCATCCAGCAGTTCCATTTGGCCTGCCAGTACTTCATGCGAATCCGATGATTCAGTGATACTGTCTTTACCTAAACAAAGTAATCGGCGTTCTCAGCGTTGGCCTTCCGAATTTCCAATTCCACGTTTCCGCAATGACACAGAGCTTGTGCTTGCAGCAGGTAGCGAAGCTTTCAAAGCTCTGCTGCCATCCTTCCAGACATCCTTGAGAGTTTAGCTGAAAGCATCTTTGAGTATGTCGCCTATCCTACAAGCGCACAGTTCGCAGATGTAGCAGAAGCATTGATTCGAAAACATCCTTGCCTTAAAGAGCCTGGATCCTACAGTGGATGTTACGGATGGCAGCAAAGACTGAAATTTAAAATAGGCAATTACAGATCCAAACTGAGAGGGCTTGGGTGTCCTGAGCTTGATGTAAATGCTCTCAAAAAGAAGCGAGCAAATGAAAAGACGCCCGCTTAGAATGTGAAGAAGGCACGGAAGGGTGAGGCAAACTACTTGCCACCTCATCCTCAGGGAGAAACACAAGAAAGTTTGGAACAAGAAAGACTGGAGCTCCTAAGTGAAGTAAAGAAGAGAAATAATTTGCAGATCATCAATGAGAAAATGGAAAGGACATTGTCCATTCGCAGACAGGAAGTTGTCACCCTGTCCCCACCTGTCAGTGACTTGAAGGAACGTTGGCCTGCTCTTTTTCTTCCAGCACAGGTGAATGTGTTTTTCTTTTTAACAGACAAGTTGGCAAGTATGACTTCAGCTGAATTAAAGTTTAATTCATTTATTTTAATTTGACATCTCTCTCATCCCATGTTGCTTTATGTTGTGTCACACAGATCAATGAAGAATATAAAAGGATCACCACCACTAATCTGGAGTCGGCGTTCATGGAAAATCTGGATGAGTGCATATCAAGTCTAACGCCATTGGTGTTGTCATGAGGAGGGGCGGCAAAAAAGAAGATTCAGAACATCATGGAACTCCTTAAGGTACATGATTCCATATTTAGGATTTTTAAATTAATAAATAAATAAACGCCTTTAAGGAAAATTTCTTTCATCCATGTTACCTTTTTTCATCTGGGAATTTAATCTTGAGGTGATGCATAAAACCCTTCAATATTTCAAAAACATTAAAAAATCTTTTTCAGGACAACACGATTGAAACACGCCGAGAGGTTGCCATCCGCTGCCTAGTAGTGTATCTTGGGGAAAAGGAGGAGGATCTTTTCAAATATTTGGTAGGTAAATGTGTCTCTTCTCTACTTCATTTCCTCTTTTCCCTCTCTGACTTGCCTATTTATCTCTGCACATGCTCGTTTCTTTTTTTAGGACGTAAAAATTGTCATGCACTCGCACTCATGCCATTTGAGACATGTTACTCAAGAGAATTGACTTCAGTTGTATATTGCAATCAAGTCATTGGTAACTAGCTTTCCCTTGTCAGTCTGGTAACCAGTGGCGTGCACAGACATTTTGGGGGGCAAGTGCTCCAGGGGGAAAAAAGGGCACTTTTTGCATATGTGGAAAACCTTTTCTTTTTATAATAAAAAAAACGCACAGGTTAAATGCAATTTGACTTTTATTTCAAAACATTCTCTAAAAATAGACCAAAATGTATGAGAACGAATAAGACTGACTGTGGTCATTACAAGAACAGGGCAGAATGGTCGTTTT